GAAACTTTCCGTAAAGCCCGTATCGGACTACGGATTGAGATTGTGATTGGATTGAGAATTGACCAATTAGAGTAAAAGTTAGCTAAACTTGAGATTAGTAAACTTTACCGCGATTGGTCGAATTTCAATCTAATCCCAATCTCAATCCGCAGTCTGATACGGGCTTTAGGCCGGTATTCAAGACAGTCTTCAAGTTATCTGAAGATGCTGCACGGAACGTTTCATTGGCTACGGGAGTATCTAAAGATGATCCTGTGACAATCTTGAATATAAGATCTGACTACTGGTCTTAAGCCCGTGTCACACTACGTATTGTGGATCGGATTGAGATTGCGGGTCGCGGATCGCAATTCAACCAATCGGATACGAGGCTGTCCCGTCTGATTGGCTGGAATGCGATCCGCGTCCCTCAATCTCAATCCGATTCGCGATCCGCGATACGTAGTGCGACACGGGCTTTCAGAGAGTAAAACGAGTAATTTTTACTTGCCGCGACAGTGGGAGAAATTTAATCAACTTTCTCGTATATTCTCAGATGCTTAGGCGCTTCAGGAGTTAAAAATTCTTCACTTGACCCCGTGTCCGTTGAAGGATTTATGACTGGGAGGTCGCTCGGTGATTCCGGTATAACGTATATAGATTTTCGCCGCGATAGCCGGGATACGTACACGATCAAGCGCAGTGAACACGTTGATTACGGGAGTCAGTGACCCGTTGTCGGCCCGAAAATTACGAGGCGGGCCGCGGGGCGGCCTTTCGACGGGCGCGGAGGGTTATTTATTCCCTTCGGAAACGGCGCGAAATGTTTTTTTAACACCGCCACCGGCGGCGGCGGTGACGGCGACGGCGACGACGGCCACATGTTTGAGAGGGCTCGAAAAAAAGAGTGGGAACGAGCACGGGGACAGCGGACGGTGCAAACGATAAGTGAAACTCCCGTAGGAGCCACTCGGGGCGGCGGTTACGGCACCCTCGAGGACGCCGTCGGTGCCTATATCCTAATAGGAACGTAATCGCGTAGTTTTGTCCGCTGAATAAATTATCGTGGGGCGAAGAGGGGGGGGGGAGGAGGCGGCTTATACGAGCGAGAGGGATCGCCGCGTCGCGTGGATTAGCGACGATCTTCGCCACTGGGACACTCGTAGATTTATTCTACTCCAGACACGAACGCTCCCTCATTTATTATCGTTTCCAGCCCCGCGGTGACGTATAACAGATGCGACCTTTTGTTTCTGTTAAATAATCGCGTGGCCTAACGATTGTTAAATTAGAAAACTTAAATCGTGCGCGGAGAGAATTTTCTCTTATTTGTCCTGAAAATTGCGTAATCGCGTGGGACAACGTGGCATTTTGAAGAATTTTATAAGAGTTTTTGAAATGTTACCATACTTATTACTAGCAATTATACACAGTTGAAAAATTTGTGTTAAATTTAACAGATATCACATGCCCGAAACGGTTCACACAAATTTTTGTGTTAGTTTAACATAATATGGATATGTTAAATGATCACACTAATACTCTATTAATATTTTAACACAAAATAAATGCAAATCTCAAAATAATTTGAAGTAAATTTTGTGTAAAATTAACATATTTTCAATGACAAAATAAATTTTTTTATGTAATTTTTACATTTTACAGATGTAATAAGTCAAATGACTGTTCGAAATCATTCCCGCTTATGTTATATAGAATAAAATTAACATTTTATTCTGTAAATTTTAAGAGATAAATCTTGTTGTAAAATGTATATAGTAAACTTTCAAAAGACTCTCATAAAGTTCTTCAAAATGAGTGCGTTCCGGCAAGACACTGCGCTACTATAGCGTACGGTAGCGCTACATACATAATTTGTATATTACATGAATGTTTTCATAAACCGACAGTTCTAGGAGCAAAAGGTGCCAAAAGTGCAGAATCACTCCAGCATCCCCACAAGTTGTCCCACGACCACACGATTTTCAGGCTAAATTTTGAAAGAAAATTCACTCCGCGTAGATATCCTTGGAAATGCGCCAGAGTAATTAAATGTAAATGACGGAGATATATATAAACGATACGAACGAGGCAATTATCTTATCTAGATAATACGAAAAACATTCTTCGTATTTTGCGAGCCATGACGTCTCCGAATTTTGCATTCGGCAGAAAGAAGTGAGGAACCTTGGCGATCCTACGATTTATCCGTTAATAAATCAGTTAAATGGTTACATCGAGGCGATTTACACAGCTGGCGGCGTGTTTGATCGCGTCGGAAGACAATTTGCTCCTTTTTGAGCGAAAGTCAGGCAAAGCGAACGACAAATATTGAATTTCTTACGATCGACCGATATTATACCTGTTTGCGAAAGGCTGAGAGGGAGAGAGCTCTCTCTCTCTCTCTCTCTATGTGCATGTATGCCGTTTACAAGTCATGGTACGTTCAACGAGACCCTAAACAACATATTTGACGCACCAGCGTGACTCGTCTGTTGTTTAATTTCGCGGATCCATGTTTACGCGAGGTAAAATATTGAATTACGAACTGTCGCCTGTAATCATATCGCGCGATTGTAATGGATATCGGAGTTTCAACGCATAATACATATTCCCTTTACCCAGACAGCCTGTTAAGGACGTACCGGTGCTGCACATTTGTAACTGGTACAACGTTAATTACGTATTCTGGAGATTTTTCGTCGGAGACCTAACGCGTCGACAATCGAGTTGTAATACGAAAACGTCGTTTTGGATTTATAGACAATGAGGTTAATTAATGATAGCACGCGGATCTGGGCACTTTTATATTCATAACTGGTGTATATGCACCAGTGTGTCACATTACTTTCACAATTTAGGTGATATGGATTTTTATCGCTCAGTTGGCTAAAACAATCTGCACACGTGTAATTTCGAGAAATAATTATAGATGAAATTAATTTTTCCACCCGTTCTTTTCAAAATGACATTTCGTAAAATACGCACGTTATTACAAAAAAAAAAAAAGAAACTCCTCTTCAGTTGTACAATTTGATCAAATTTCGTAAAATTTGCGCGTCTCATACTATTTTCAAATGAATATAACAAGTATCTTATTTTTGCAGCGATAAATAATTATTTCTAACAAGTAACAAATATTTTACCAAAAATACTCACTCCATAGTCGGCCTCGCCATCACTCAATGTCTCCCCAAGCCTCCTCCTCTCTTGTTACTTCTATGACTCCTTTATGACACAAGATTCACTCGCGAAAGTACAGTTAATTACGACCGCGCAACATTTTATACGACACTCCCTAAATATTTATCGCACGCGTTACATACTTTATGACCAAAAAAAAAACACCTTGGAAACAGCATCGGTAATTTCACTGCAACATCGTGCGGTACAACGCGGTTAATGAAATCGAGCTGATTAAAATGAAAAATAAAAAATACCACCGAAATGCGGTAGTCCTGCGACAAATTTATAATTCCCGTCCTCGTGGCTTTTCGATTTTTACTTAAATGGACAAGTTGCGCGAAAAATATCCGCCTCGAGGAAGCCGTTGTCTCGATACGTTTGCGAATCGTTGGTGACAAGAAGTTAATTAACTTGCGCGGCTTTAATGATCGTCAAAAGTTCAACATCGGTGTATTCACGTTTTCTCTTATAAAAATGATAAGCGACCCAAGTATTCGTAAAATATAATGACGTTCGGCGTCTCTTGACGCTCGTCGCGCCGCGGGAGATAATAATACGACACGCTGAACGGCTCAACGCCGCTGCTTGCCCGAGACTCACTGCGCGAATATAAACAAGGCAACCACGTCACAACATAGTAAGCTGTACGTCGCAAAAAAACGAGCGTCGTGCGCGATGTGCCAACCGATCATCGCCGCTCTATGAAATATTTAACGTATAGCCATTATAAAATAAACGCGCGCTGTTCTCGTCCTTGCGTTTCAAATTAATTGCCACAAATTACTGCACCCTGAGCCTGACATTTATTTAAAGAATAAAATTTACCTTTGTCTCGATCAAAAAAGTATTTGTGCCCATTTATTGTTACCTCTTTCCAAATTTTCCGAGCGAAATAAAATTGTAATTTTAATGCATCGAAAATTATGGCTGTAATAAATGGAAGGAGTGGAATTAAAATGCTGTAAAAAGGTACGCGCAAAAAGCATTTTTTTTCACTGTTTGTTAAAATTGCACAATTCTATCTCAAGTAAAAAAATTATAATGGTCAAGTTAAATGCGTATCCATTTGCCAGTTGCAGAACCAAAGGTGTGCATTATTTTTCTAATTGGGCGTAACTAGATTTTTAATCATTGCTTATTTTCAAGTGGCGTAACTAATTAAACAGATTTTTATCAATTAGTTACCACTAATGCACAGTATTAACGCGTAAGAAACTAAGTGCCAAAGTCACCGAGCGATAAAAATCGGTTATTTGAATTGTGATAAATCGCGTAAAAATTGTTACAAAAACATGTAAATTCTACGTGACACCATTGATTAATTTCTGTCCTACAATTAAAAAAAGAACTATTAATTAACCTCGTCACTTTTATAGAAAGACTTTCGATCCCACACAAGTTATCTCCAGAATACATTATTAAAATATTGTATAATAAAATTGTGAGACAGCCTCACTTTAATGTAGCGTTTAACGCAAACTTTTATTACCGTCTGATAGAAAAAAGTATAAAAATTTTATTTCGAACGGCGAATATTTTTAGTTCCTACGTGTTCGTAAGGCTAGAACATTTCGAACGGGGCGGGCACTCGGGGGGAGAAAAATGTCACGAAACGTCGAGCGTTTCGTGCCGGCTGCCACGGAATGGTAAAATCATCATCCTCAATAGCGCCGCTCGTAAAGATCACGATCGCGAGAGCCTGAGCTCATCCGAATATTTCCCGCTCGCGTCAGAGACGCGCCGGAGGAGACGCGGGCAAAAACTTAATTTACGAGCTGATCTAATTTACGCGTTATGGGTTGCGATATAGCGTTTCTTTTTAAGAAAGCACTCACCCAATGTTGCGTCGCCACTACCTCTCCTTCCGTCCCGTCGAGGTTCTGCGGGGGAGAAAACAAATAGAGAACATTGTTAAAAACACACGAAAGATATATATACATATATGTACATATACGTTCACGTGATCGCGATATGACGCGCTGGTGTTCGAATGCAATATCTAAACGCGGCCGCTATCGATCGAGAAATTCAAGAGCTGCCTAATCATTGATCGAGTGAGTCACGCTTGTTTTCGACGCCTCGTCCGTCCGTGGGCTCCCGCGTACACGGTGCCGCGAAAAAAGCGAAACCGATAATTAACTTAATAAGCAGTGGAATTATATTGCGCGATCGACGTTTCCAGTAGCGATAATAATTTTCAACAATCACGCACGATAGAAGAGATAAAAAAAGCGTAGCAATTGTTTAAGATAAAAACAGAGTATATCTCATGTTTGAATACTCACGTCCTTCTTCCTTTTCACAGTTGCGGCGCCTGAAATCATATTACATTAAAACTCATTAAAAAAAGAAGTAGTGCACAGTACGAAGAATAGTCTCGATAAAAACAGTCTTTGCGATATTAAATAAAATTTACGGGAATTAAATTCTTGTTCTCTCTCTCTCTCTCTTCCACTTTGTCACTCTCCACTTCCGCATATATTTCATTATCTCGATCCTCGATAAAGATAATGCGATAACAAAGGACTTACCGCCAGTGGGATTAGGTAACCGTGTGCCGTTAGTACCAGCGGGGGTCGCCGGATTCACAACGGGGGTGGGAGTGACGGTACCTACGGTGACCGGTACACCCTTGGTCCCGAACGGAAAATACGGTGAGTCCAGGGGGTATGTGGTACTCTCGACGCCGCCGCCGCCGCCCCCGCCGCCGCCCCCGCCGCCCCCGCCCGGCCCCCCGCCCGGTCCACCCGCCGTAGGACCGAATGCACCACTGCTATACGCCTGAAACAGAAACCGAAACACATCCTTTTTTTTCCTCAATTTTTTCATTTTCACCTCTGCTCGCGACAATTATAATCGCAATATTGCAGCGACGAATTATCGATATAGCAATAATGGCACGGGGATATCGTCTGTATCGAGAATATTTCGGTTGCAAAAATAATTTTTTCATTAATTGCGTAATTATACCTTCAAAAATTTTTGTTTAATATCGCGTACTTATTTTTTAATAATTTATTAAAAGACCGCGTAAAATTGTGCCTTTTAATTCATAAAAATGTTGCGTAATTTATTTTTTTTTGCATTCATAAAAATATCGCGTAAAATAACACCTTCTAACATATAAAAGTACTGCGTTTTTATTTCACTCTCTCATAACGTTAAAAAGTTTTCTTTTCTAAATTAGCATTAATTAAAGAGCACTGCATTTTGCATTGATTACGGATAACTGTCATGGAAGAAGAGAGGAAGGATGAGGCCGGGGGAGTACGCGAAATGGAGGAAATGCGACAGCGATAACTCGGAGGCGGCTTCAATAAATCATCCGTCGAAATCAATATTCCTTATCAGCTATGGTTTAACGACAGTCGATTAGATACTGCTCTTTCTCTCTCTCTCCCTCTCCAGCGCTTTCAAAAAGCTCAAGTGTACCGTATTCGTTTCGTTTCTGCTGTCATTAAGTTTGCAGAAACAATAGTTGAATTACTCTCTAAAAATCAATCGGTGAATTGTCGCTGTAAACAGTGAATAGTCACTGATTTACAGTCACAAGTATACCACTGCGATTTCCAGCGGTGTACTTATAACTGCAAATCAGTGACTATTCACTGTTTTCGGTGATGGGCCACCGATTGATTTTCAGAGAGTACGTTCTCGAGAATTGCGATGAACGGAGGGCACACGAAAATTCAAACATAATAGTAGGATCATCATCTCGGTGTTGAATAGACGTCCCGCGCACGTATAACGCGTTTACCTAACGAGCATCGTCGCCGAGTCGGCGGGAAGTTCCCGTTTCGCACGATGAAAATTTGGAAAAGTGGTGCAACAGCGTGAAAAAATAAGTGTTGCAACAATCTTTTCAATTTCAACGGCACGAAAAGGAAATACTCCAAGTCCTTTCCTCGTGAAACACGGGCAAGTAACTTGATGCACCGAATACATCGCCGCGGATGAGAAAGAGCGTAAGTGATATTAAAGCCGGCGGTTGACGGCGCTCAGCCTCGCGGAGCCGGAATATATTTCCGCCCCGACGCGACACATCGCAACGCCTGCTATCGCGCGCACAATACACCGTGGTTGTTAATTGTTAATTAATTAAGATGATTGATATCGGTATGATAAATGAATGAGAGTTAATTCATAACTAGCAAAGTCACGAAGGCAAATTTATATCATTAAGATTAACGAGCCAGTCAAACACACATGCTGATTTCCGCGTTGCACACTTTCGCTCGTGCCGATAAATAATATCCCTTCCGAGGAAGGAAGTCCTTCGCGGCGGGAGATGAGAACCGCTTCCCGAAAATATCATCCGAGGTAAAGTTTTGGGATTACGCCGGGGATGCCGGCGGGAGGGCGCGGAGTCGGGCGGCGCGGAGCGAGTAACTTTTTCTCAGATAAATTCGCTACTACGACTGCAATAATTATTACGGTCCTATTTCTTACATAATCCCGCCTCGTTTAGAGGTTCAAGTCGTTGCAACAAAGGGAGAGATCTTGAATATTCCAACTTCTCCCGCGCCGTCGCGTCGCTCGGCTCGAGTGGGGAGGGGAAGGAACAAAGGGCGGTACGCGGCGCAAAGAAATCGCTGCGATTCGTATTGTCGGCGCGCCAAGGTCAATATCAAAAGATCACTCACCATTCCGTTGTCTATCGTGGGGCCATACGGCGTCTGAAAGCCTGACTTTTCTGAAACAGATAAAGCAAATCTGTCAAGATCGATTCTCCAGCGCTCTTCGTCGAGAGATCGAACGGATTCGTAAAGAAAAGCAAGCCGAGCGGAGTTCATTGCGCAGAGTAACAATTTCGCAAAGCTGTTGGTCATTAACTGTAGACACAGATGAATTGTAATAGCGTAAAATTATATCTAACTCACGAAATACGGATCACAATACCGTACACACACGCACACACACACACGAAGCCCCTGCATAAATTCAACGTTCCGCGTTCTGCTCGCGAATAAATCCTCCGGCAAATAAAAGAATAGACGCCGCGCGATACTAAAAGGAAGACAAAGGAAGAGGATACCTGACAAAATATCCGCAGTATCGGGAAGGGGATTAGAAAAAAAAAACGAATATCCCGCAGCCCCACGAGCCCGCGCAATATTCTTGGCGCGTGAGTCGTCGGGAGCGAAAAGGGGGAGCGAAAAGAAAGTTCCCCTCCCGAGAGGAGAGTCGATGCAAAATTAATGCCGGGCATAAATTCGCGATGCGTCTTTATAAATCAAAATCGCGATCGCGCTAAGAATCCGCGCACGGAGATATGTATACGCGCGTTTTCCACGTTGCGGCTGATACGCACGCGGAATAAACAACGAGATAAACATTACGAGGTTGCCGCAGTCCGGGGCTTCATCCGTTATTAATGCCCACCCCGTAACACGTATACCGTAGGAGCGCGAACCTACGCGCGAGAGGCGCGCCGTCTCTTGCGGAGAATTTATGAGGATCGGCTGGATTTACGTTTCGAAAAACCGCCCGGAAAGAATTGTAGGGCGACGCGTTGCCGCATCGAGATTAATTTTTATTCGACGAGATACGCACTGCCAAGTACTTTTCCGTATCGCCCGTGCAATACGAGGCTTCCTCTGCTCTACGTCACCTCCATCGTTACGTTAAAATTATGCTCGGCACCTCGCGTAATCCTTTCGTCGATGTAATCTCGACGTACGAAAAGAACTGACGACATATTACGTGCGTGACAACGGAAGACGCTTTAAATGAAGGCGTGGATCGAGTACAAGGGAACAAGAAAATTACTGCAGCACGTGTGCACTGAGAATAATTTCCATCTAATTAACCAATTAAATGGTAATAAATAAGTTTGGTCGACCTTAACCGGCACGTGTTTAATAAAACAAAATAAAATGCCAGTGCGACGTTTCGACCAAGTGTTAGGTCCTTCTCAAGCACATTCTAAAAGAAAGAAACCGATAATCAGGATTACAGACTTATCAAAGGTACAAATAAATTAATAGAAAATCACAGTGCGTACAATAATAATATGTAAAATAAAACAAGATCACAAATAATGAGTACAATGAAAGATATGGTTTGTCACATCGGATAGATAATATAACAAATTGGAAATAAACCCTAGACCAGTCAATTACCTTAAAAATAATCAGGCCAGTGTAATATGAAGTCAAGTGATAAAAATCCAGAGGAGACAAGTCATAATTATAAAAATTAACAGGCACAAAATTAAAGTATGTA